CATAAACGGACAAATAAGTCAGGTCAAAAGGACATTTCTGTGGCCGAAGCTAGTCATTCTGACAGCCTAACTGATGCAAAGGTGCCAACTCCTGAGGCTGCACGCACCAGTGGCCGTTGTCTAGAAATCTATTACACTAACTGTCAGAGTCTTTTAAACAAGCAACATGAACTCAGATTATTAGTCTCTGAACAGAAGCCACACATAATTGTCCTAACAGAGACATGGTTGACTGAGGAAATAAGTAGTAGCGAAGTCAGTATTGAAGGCTACCAACTGTTCCGTTGTGACAGATTTCAACGTAGAGGAGGAGGCACAGCGATTTATGTGTCAAGTGAAATTGCGTGCTGTCAACGAGAAATATCCGATGGTGCGCCCCGAAATTTTGAACTAATTTCATGCAAGATATTTATCAAACAATTACCGACACTGAACCTGTGTGTTGTCTATCGGCCTCCTAGCTCGAATGAAATCGCCGATATGGAATTACTTAGTGCACTGGCGTTGTAATGTAAGCAGGAGAACTTACTACTTCCGGGTGACTTCAACGCTCCAGGAATAGACTGGAGCATTCCCCTAACAAACGCCCCGTCCACGTCATTTGACCACAAGCTACTACAGCTCTCCCTGAATGAATACCTCATTCATCACATAAAATTCGGAACAAGAATGAGATAAGGACAACGATCTAACTGTTTAGATCTCATTTTCAGTAAAGAAGAAGGACTCATAAGGGAAGTGAATCCACAACCTCCACTCGGTTTAAGCGATCATATTGCTTTTACCTGCATGTGCTCCCGCCTATCCAACCAACAACCAAAAATGAAGACACGCAGGATTATTTGGAAGGGTGACTTTAACGCAATGAGACGCACTCTTTTGGAGGAAACCTGATTGGTCAACACAGAAGATTCAGACAAATTTTGGCAGTACATTCGCGGGATTATAGAGCGTATAATTGATTCCCATTGTCCATTAAAAATGACAAGACCATGTTCGCGACCGCCGTGGGTCAGTCCGACGACAAAAAAGACCATGAAGAAGAAACAGAGACTCTGGAAAAAGTATTTGCAACTTCGAGATCCAACGTCATTCGCCGAATATAAGGATCAGCACAATAAATGCCGCAAACAAATACGGGTTGCTAGAACTTCTTTCGAGCGCCGACTGATAGCAGAATTCATCACATGTCCCAAGAAGTTTTACGGGTACATCCGCAGTAGGAGAAAACATAGGGACGAAATTGCGTGTCTTAAGGATAGCCTCGGAAACTTATTAGTTGAAGGGCCACAGAAAGTGCGATTACTGTCTCAGTTTTTTTCAATCGGTTTTTACGGAGGAGTCCTTAGAAGACAATCAGTTGCTCAGATCTTCCGTCAGAGATCATCTGCTAAGTCCCACCAAGTCATTCCGCCCTTGCTTAGTGCAAGCGATGCCTTCATTACAGAAGAGTCAGGCAAAGCAGAAATTTTAAATTCGTTCTTTGCCAAGCATTTCACCATTGAAACTGATCCGATCCCTTTAATTCCTTCGTTGTCTGATGCTTCTCTTAGCTTCATTAATTTTTCTCCT